GACTGGAACTCAGGCGGCCTGGCAGGAACCGGGCCGGGCAGCATGGCGCTCACCGCTCACGGCAGCAGGCTTCCCCGGGCCTGTTTAACGGGGAAGGGATACTCTATTAGGATCTTCCAGATCGTAGGCCATGTCACGCTCCTGTGCGGTCTGGCAGGGACAAGGACGCGGCTGGCAGGGACCTTGTGTTTTAGTCGCTGGACTGTCCCATCATGTCACTTTGTTGTTCCCACGAAGATCACAGCGTGACCAACAGGCCGCTGAAACTACGGGGCTTTGTCTCATGACGAGGTCCAGCCTGGTGTTCCGCGCCTCCGAGGAGGGACCTGTGTTTGGAGAGGTGACTGGTTCGCCAGCGGGTGAGAGGGGACCCAGGGCAGAGGCCGCGGTCACGGGACTCCACGTGACCACATCTTCCAGGCACGCGTCACAGCGGAGAGTCGAGCCGGGAGGGGTTGGAGGGGATGGGGGGAGACTGTGGGAGGAAGGATGGGAGTGTAGAGCGATCAGCCCCCGGCGGCGGCGGGAGAGCCCAGGGCTGCGCGCCGGGCTGCGCGCCTGGCTGCCGCCGGCCCAGCAGCCGGCAGACTGAGACGGCGGGCCGCTTTTATTTGCTCAGGAGGACAGCGGTGGGGGCGAGGTGGGCACGCGGGGATTGTTGGACCGACACCACGGAGGGGGCCGTCCTCGTAGTGATACAGGAAGGTTGCCAGGAGGCAAGACCGTCACTGCAAACAGGACGCAGGGCCACCCTCGCTAGAGCTTCGGACAGACCCACGCGGCCTCATTCTCACAGTGGACAGACTATCTCCAGGCCCAATAAAGGCAGGGGACAAAAGACTGCTTAAATAATTAACTTACTTGATTCAGCCCACAGTGTAGCGAGGCTGCCCAGCAGCGCGGCTAATGGACTGCACCCTGAGCCTGGGGTCTCCGCTCTGTGACCTGGGGCAAGACCCCCCCCGGGGGTTCCGAGTCCTGATCAGTACGGGGGCGGCCCCCACGGCCACAGCTTTTGCTGCGTCTGGGCTACTGGGCCCAGCACCTCTAGGGGGTCGCTCCGCCCCCGTAGGCCCTCGCGAGGCAGGACCCCTTGCCACCACCAAGCGGCCGGCCGGGCCCTGTAGCCCAGCATCACACAATCAATGAACACCGAATTACGGGGTTGGTTTTGGAGATTACATGACACAACGCTCATTCAAAACCTGGCGCATGGGCGGGAAGACGTCAGACGGCTCTGGATGAACGGGGCCCGTGACAATCACTTGATACCCAGCATCGGTGTCTGACATTTGTAACGGGAAGGCGCTGACCTGGCTCGTATTTTGAGCGCCGCAAGCGAGCAGGATCCTTTGAACGCAAACCTTTAATCGTCCTTGATATCCGAAGAGCGCAGCGCTGTGGACCTGCCCCGTCGGGGAGCCCCGGGAACCTGATGCACCCCAGCAGCCCTGCGGCGGCCAGGGAAAGGCCGCGTGCACGTGGGCCCTGGAACAGGTCACCTGCAGAAGGCGTCCTCGGCTGAGAGCAGGTGTGGGCGGGGGGTGTACAGTTGTCCAGTGCTCCAACGCCCGAGGCTGGGGGCTGGGGGCGCGGCACCCCCACCTGCTGCTCGCCTGTGCCCCGAAAAGCCTTCAGCGTCCCCGAGCACGCGTGCTACAGGAGCCCAGGGAACACACCGCACGCTTGCCTTCAATCCTCGCGAAGGTCTTTGGGTCGCCAGAGAACGCCTGAGTCGCCTCCCCAAACCCTGGGCTCTCCCGGGCAGAGGGCGCAGGACCCGCACTCGGACTCCCTCGACTGGACACCAGGGATCAGGCAGGACCAGGCCTTCCTGGGCAGCAGGACCCGAGTTCGAGCTCTGGGGCCAGGCGGCTGCGTGCTCCCCGGCAAGCTGGTTAGCTGCTCTCCGAGCCTTGGTTTCCTCGTGGACGAAGTAAGGGTAACGAGACCTTCCTCAGAACTTAAAAGACACAGTGCATGTTGTGTGCTTAGCGGAGCACCTGGTATTAGCAGTAGAGTCACACAAATAAACGTTAACAACTGTTACCAGTAGGTACCAGTATGTATCGGAAGTTAACTTTTCCCTTGCAGAGGCCTGGGCCGGAGAGTAGCGAAGATCGGGGAGCCGCTGGGTGCCCACAAGGGGCGCTCTTGCACAGGGTCGAATGCCTTGAGTGCTTTTCCACCCAAACAAGGGACAGTCACGTTCCGCACAAAACCAAGTTTTAACCGCCTGCTCTGCAGGCTCAGGGGAGTGTGCAGAGATTCCCAGAGGAAGCCTCTCCCTTCTTAGCTACCCCAAGGCGCGGGTTCTTGCACGGGTGGCCGCGGCGGCGTGGGGCACTTAGGGCGCATCTCGGGAACAAGGTCTGGAGCGGGAGGGCTCGCAACGACGTGGTCCTCTTCCGCCACCTGCTGGCGACGCTAGCTCATGGCAGGTCCCAAACGCCACGGAGGGCACCGTTCAGGAGGAGGACCGTCCAAAATGAAAACGACTCAAGGCGCGTTTGGTATGCTCAAATGGCAGTTTTCTGGCTCTTGGTGTTTCCAGAGCAGGGCTCCTGAGACGCGAGAGGACAGCAGAGCCCAGCCCAGCGGCGGCGGCCTCCCCGGTTCCCGCGCCTGGACACGAGGCACTCGGTTTGGAATGGGCCAATCTTTCTCCCAACCCAGCCCCTGATGCCACCTTGCCGCTGCGGTTTCCCTTCCCTCCTGATCCTGGTGGCTCTTGGTGGCTCTCAGTGGCAGGGCGGCCGTGGAAAGGGGTGTGTGTTCGAAGGTGGAGGTGCGGGATGTGGAGCCGCGGTGGGTGTTGGAGCACGTTGTGCAAAGGATGATGTCATGGCTTTTGGGTTAAGTCGCGGCAATGAGAGATGAGATTGGAGAGGGCGCGAGGACAGGTGGCGTGGGGGTCCCACAGGTGGAAAGGACCACCGGGGGCAGGGGAGGCCGTGCAGTCGGAGGACGGCAGGTGTGGGCGGCGGAAGGAATTGCTGGACCTCGGGAGGAGGACGAGATAGGCTTGGGGTGAGATAGGGCACCCCTGTTTAGAAGAGCCTTTTATTTGCTGACATGAGTTGCACCATATGACGCCGTGTCGCGGAACTCGTGGGCTTCGGAACTCGTCGAACCCTGTACACGTCGCTTTTTGACGAGAAAAAGACCTTTCAGCGCTCGGTGCTTGCTGAGGACTCCTTGAACTGGTTGGAACCGGAATGAGTCGGTCTGGGCGCCCACCACGAGTTCTGGAAGGGGTTAACGTCGAGTACCGAGGTATGTGTTACATTTGTTTTTTTAGCAAAAGCTGAATATTTTACTATGTACTATAAATCATAAGATGCAATTCTTGAATTCCCAGCGTTTTTGTTACACATATGTGTAAGGTGAACCATAATCAAACATCGTTGGTGCTAATCAGTAAATGGTCACGATTTCCACTACAAAGTGGGACTTCAGAGATCTAAGGAGGTAAATTTCATGGGTGGGTTCTCGTAGCTGCAGAACTAAAGAGGTGAGGTGCGTAGTCAGGAAACGGATTTGCGTGCGTGCGACTGCGTGACCTGGACACAGCAGCATGTGAAACAGAAGCCTGGGTGACAGTCACCTTTTCCTGGGAATGCATTTGTGTGTATTTGTCTTAACCGTGTGAACATCATACAAAACTGCAGACATTATTAGCAGCAATAATGAGATTAGTTGCTTGTTTAACCACTTACGTAATGTTTTTAAGTGTTTCGTAATAGGACTTCCTAATATTTTCAAGATATAGATCCTTACTGTTGACTTTTCTATTAATTTTGATTTTCATCTAGACAACATTTTATTAGTGATGCTCCTATTTTTGTTAGTCAGAGATCTATTTGTTAGAATTTATAAGCTGCATTAAGTAACACATTTTGTCACTGAATCAAAATAATTCCAGTCCCAGGGAACCCACCTTGTTCACTGATTCCTTTACAAGAATTGTGGCTGGACTCAGTGAAATACTCATCACCTGGCTACTCCGTGATCCACAAACATCCGCCATGTGAACATCCACAGAGGAGGGAGAAGCACCCAGGTGGCACCAGGCTCTTTGGCCTAAGCCAGCGCTGTTCTCCCGTGTTCGCCTCAGGGCACGCATGCACCAGTTGCTAAAATCCGGCAGTACGCCAAAAAGTATATATTTTTGCCATTCTTACAGAAAACAGGTATGGTTTTTAGTCATTGACCCTGGGCGGCTATTGTATTGGCTGCTGGTTTGTTTGTGAATTCGACAGCACAAGCGCAGACAGGCTGGTGCCCTGCCCCAAGACACAGGTGCCGCCTGCCTTAGAGATTCCCACCAGCGGGGAATCGCGGGCTCAGCTTCTTGTCTACGACGTGCTCAGCAAATTCTTGCACCTTCCTGTGAATTAGAGATATTACTAAGGAAGAACAGGGTGAGACTTGTTTTAGTGCTTTTTCATTTTTCTGTTGCCTCGGGCGAATTTTGGTTCTTTTTCTTTAGTTCACACTATACAGTCCACGATGCTGTAAGGTCAGCGGGAACCCACCTGGGACTATGACTTTGGTCCCTTCACCGGCTCTGTCTGTCTGGAATATTGTTTCTCCCCCTCCCCCCCCCCCCCACGCCAGCCTATCACACTTCTCCCAGTCTTCAAGCCGCTCTCTTACCGCCCCCCCGACCCTGAAATGCTCCTCCAGTGTTACGTGGTTCCCGGGCATCTCAGAAGGTCTGCCGGAACCTCTCTACCCGCAGTGTCCCCAGCACTTGGTTTGCCCAGCACACATGTGCCCTGTCACCGCGTCGTGTGGGGCCGCCCTCAGCACCCTCTGGCCTGTGGCCCTGAAGGAGGAGGCCCAGCCAGCGCCGCCCTAGAGGAGGGAACTTCACAGCTGAAAGGGGTGTCCGGCTTAGGTCCTTAATTGGACCGACCAGTAAGGATGCTGACGCCGAGTTCAAACACAAGTCCCACTGAGAGCAGAAGCACTTGGTCCTTTCTTTCCTTTTTTTTTTTTTTTAAAAAGATTTTATTTATTTATTTTTAGAGAGAGAGGAAGGGAAGGAGAAAGAGAAGGAGAGACATCCGTGTTCAGTTGCCTCTCACATGCCCCCTACAGAGGACCTGGCTGGCAACCCAGGCCTGTGCCCTGACGGGAATCAATCCAGCGACCCTTTGCTTCGGAGGCCGGCCCACGGAGCCGCCCCAGCCAGGCGAGCCTCAGGACGCCAGGGCAAGCGCGCCTGCTTCCCCAAAGCGCGGAGCCCGCCGGGTGGAAAAGGCACCCGCCCTCTGGGGAGCAAGTGGAGACACACACAAGCGGGCTTGTGAGTCCCAGGATTCCTGTTTTTGAAGTGACACTGGGCGGGCTTCCTGGTCACAAGCGGGGAACAGAGGACGGCCGTTCGGTTACTACGGCCGCAGCCCAGGCTGGGCGGGAGGCAGGGCGCCGGCCCGGGGCAGAGGGCCCGTGCGTGCGGGGGCGCCTCCCGCCTCTCTCTGCTGTCAGCCCCCGGTGCTCCAGGCTTCATGGCCACTGGTCCGCGTGTGGTTGGGATTTCACTGTGGCACTCGCTGGCCGCTGGCGGCGACTTTGTCTTGTGTTTCATTGGTTGTAGGTTTGCCTCGTCCAGACCAGAGGGTCCGTGGGCTCCTTCCATCTACTCGCTGCTAGTTCTCTCCTTCCCCCAAAGGCGGGCGTCCGGACGGGCACTGTCCTCCTTAATTTAGGGGCCCACAGGCATCCAACGGGACTCAGGCAGAGGTGTCCCCCAGGCCTGCAGGGGGCCTTGCCGGGGGCGCCTCGGGCCCCAGCGCATCCCCGTGCTTCAGGAAGGCCTGCCAGTTGGGGGGCGTGAGGGGGAGTTTTATTTGAAAATGGTTCCAGAACCTGTCAGAGAGATGAAGCAGAGATGAGGTTTGGGAACTCCCACACCTGCCGCTTTGCGGGGTCTGCTTGGTGCCTGTTGCCGGTGGCTCGGCTGCTCCGACAGCTCGGCATCGGCCGCGCGTTGGCCTCGCCTTAGGGTGCGGCCCTCGTCCGTGGAGATGTGGGTTTATGGGCCGTGCCCACGGCGCCAGGACCTAGACCGGGGAGGGTGCAGGTCCCTGGGTGGCCTCCGGCGTTAGTGCCGGGCCGGGGGCTGCTCCCCGCACCAGGGCCTCCGCGCCGCTGGGAACTTGCCCCGAGGAATCGGGGTTTATTTGCCAACCACTGTTTCCAACAGTGAAAAGTTGGAACCATACAGGAGACAAACAGGTAGAACAAACTGTCCCATGAACGCGGAGGTTACAAAGGGTGGCCAGCCTTGGCCTCTGTTTGTCGGAAGTGCACGTCCGCGCGCGCCCTTAAACAGAAAGAGGAAGGCTCACTAGGCACTAAAATATAAATTGCTCTCTCTGGGGAATGTGATTGTGTGCATCACATTTAAATTTCTCCTTACATTGAAAAGTATTTTTTCAAATTTTTGACAGCAGATCATATTATTTTCAAAGCCAGACACACATGTCCCGTTTCAAGAGCAGCGCAGAGAGGCCGGCTGGGCCTGCCGCCGAGGTCCCTGGGAAGCCCCCACATTCAGGGCCTGTTATCAGGCATAAGATAGCAAAACCGTCGTACACATCAGTGTCCTAGAAGTTTCCAAGATGGAAAATACTTTCTTAAGTGACCTCTAGAATTCCCCCAAAGTTGCCACACACAGTTCTTCCCCCAGAACAAGGAGTCAGGTGCGCGCTCTGTGGGAAGAGAGCAAAGCGTGGACTGTCGCACAGCTGTGGGAATGTCTGAGGTCGGCATGTGTGTCCCAACCAGGGGGGCCAAAGGCGCGCCGATGAGCCCTGCCCGGTGGCGCGTCGTCCTGTGCGCCAGGCGGTCGCAGGCTCGAGCCCCGGTCGGGGCGCGTACGGGGAGCAAGCCATGGATGTCTCTCCTGCACAGGTCTCTCTCTGTCTCTGTCTCTGTCTCTCCCTGCCCCTCTCTCAAATCAAACGTAGCCTTGGGTGAGGATTCAAAACAGAAAAGAGACACCGGTGGGTAGAGAGGCCACCTGCGGAACGTATGTCCTGGGACCGCACCGCATCGGCAGCAGCACCCACCCCCGGCCCCACGGGGCGCTCGACCGAGACGCGAGGACCAAGGGCAACGCGGACGGGCCCAGAAACTGGCCGGGGGCCCGCGCGGCTCTCAGAGGCCGCCCGGAGGCGGGGCGGGGACGGGCGGGAGACAGGCGGCTCTGTGGGGCGTGGGGGCGGGGCACCTCGCTTTTTGTTTCGTGTGCTTCTCCATCCTTCACACTTTTTATAACTGAAAAACGTGTGGAAGCCAGTGAGTTCCGTGAACCCCACGCAAGCGGGCGAGCTCGAGGGCCGGAGCGGGGTGGCGGGTTTCGCTTGGGGGGGACCCAATCCCCACACTGTTCAGAGGGCCCGCGGCCAGGGCTAGAGAGCGCCTCCCGCCGCTGACTCTGCGGCCAACGCCACGATGGCAGCTGGGCCGCTGACACGTCAGCTCGAGCACTGACGTGAGGGATTCACGTTTTGTTTCGTTTTTTTCAATCTTCGGAGGATATGTTTATTGGTTTTAGAAAGAGAGGAAGGTGGGGGCAGGGGAGAGAGAGAAAGAGAGAGTAACATCGACGTGGGAGAGAGATCGACTGGTTGCCTCCCGTACGCACCCTGACCAGGGATCCAACACACAACCTAGGTGGGTGCCCTGACCAGGAATCGAACCTGCGACTTTGGATATGTGGCGTGACGCTCCAAGCAGCCAGGCCACCCCGCCGGGGCTAAGCGGACTCGCCTTTAACAGGCTGACAAAGGGGTGGAGCTCTGGTGGGGGACTCGCCCATGCCCACTGCTTAGGGAGGCGGCCTCGGCCGAGCGTGCGACGGGCATCAGGGGACTTACAGGTGATGGTATATGTCCGGGTCCCTCTGCAGCCGCGTCTGAAACCCTATGTACAGGTCGTCCCAGAGCAGACCCTTCTTCACCACGTGCCTGATGACGTCGACCCGGCTCCGGATCTGAAACGGACGCGGGGCAATTAGCAGGGCGCCCCCAGCAGAGCGGGCCATGCATGTGCCCGGGGCGTCAAGGAGAGATGGCCGCTAGGGTGAGGAGGGGCCTGAGCATGGGGGAAACCAAGGAAGGGAAACAGGAAACGGATCAAGAGCTGGGGACGCCACAGCTTGCAGCACAGATGGTCAGAGGCCTGGGTTCAAATCCCGGTGCCACCGTCCCTGCCTCCGTTCCCTCCTTGAGAGAATGAAGATGGCGGACCGCTCCTCCCAGGGTCTGCGGGAGGACGCATCAAACCAACGTAAATGAAATGCTGAAGCAGGACACAGCACAGAGTGAGCGTTCAGGAAACACGCGCGGTCACTGCTGTCGTGAACGGAGGGCGTCTGGCCCCCCGCCTGCGCCTTCGGAAGCTAAGCAGGGCCTGCAGGGTCACAGCCATCTGTGTCTCGGGCAGGGTCCCCTCCCCGAGGGGCCGTGGCCTTTACCTGTCAAGAGCCCCAGCCCCTGACGCGGACGGCGTTGCACAGTCAGGGCGCACAGGCTTAGGAAGACAAGCAGAGACGGATCGAGATTTCAAGTCATTCCTGCGACGCGCGGCAGCCAAAGCGGAGCGAGAAGCCGCAGAGTCCCGACGAGCCGTAGCCAAAGAGCAGCGAGAGGACACCGAGTGCCAAGAGTCTGAGGGCTCAGTGCAGGGGCGGAGACTGTGCTGGGGACAACAGCAAGTGCATAGGAAGCAGCTGGCCCTGCCCCAGGTCTGGGCGCGGTCCCACCGAGGACATCCAGACAGTTTTCTGAACAAATGAAATCAATCTGTTGGGAGGGGCAAGAGAGCAGGGAGCGTCTTTGTCAAGTCCAGGACGAGAGCCTCCACACGCTGGTGCTGAGGGGTGCCCGGCTGCTCACCCTCATGGCCTCAGCTGGTGGCCCCCGACCACATACAGCCTACAGCCCCTCCTAGAGGACGGAATTATCGAAGCATCGCCCTGGCTGGGTGGCTCAGTTGGTTGCAGCGTCCTTTCCGTGGGCCAAGGGCATGGGTTCGATTCCTGATCAGGTTGCGGGTTCAGTCCCCAGTTGGGGCACGTATGGGGGAAACGGATCGATGCTTCTCGCTCACACTGATGTCTTTCTCTCTCTCTAAGATCAATAAACATATTCTCAGGTGAGGATTTTTAAAATAAAATGAAATGAAAACTTGAATTATCTTTCCACATTTACAAATCTGGGGTATTTTACATGGAAATCCAGATTTCCAAGTTCTCTGGACAATTAAAAATACAAACCAAATCCTCAACATGTGGCTTAAGGACGCCTCTCCCCAGGGAGGGCACGTTTAGCCACTGCGGCGGGGCAGCCCACGTCTCCGCAGCCCACGTCTCCGCAGCCCACGCGGAGGCTCTGGTCCGGCTGTGTCTCCTCCCAGGGCAGCTAGCGGCCCTCACATTCGTGTGGCATCTACAGCGCAGTGTGCACGCACACGTGTGTTCTACTGTGTGGCCATCCCGGAAAACTGGCAGGGTGGCAACGCACCCCACGGCAGGAGAAAACCAAGGCTCGGGCAGCTCGGTGACTCGCCCAGAGCCCACAGCTCGAGCCTCCCACCGGCCACCGGCGGGGGTTTGCTCAGACTGGAGCTCGAAAACCGGGGGAGTTTCCGCTGGCTTAGCCCCTTTGCGGCCCACTTTCCAGGTTCCCCTGGGCAAGGGACGCCCCTGGACGGGGGGCAGCGAGGCGGGCGGGTGCAGAGAGGCCGGCCTTCGCCAAGGGCTCGCTGGGAGCCGGCAGGCAGCCTCCTGAGACCGACTGCCTCCCCGTTGGTGTGGTCGTTGTGACAAACGCACCACAGCCAAGTAGGGCGCGGAAAACGCCCGGTCCTGCTCTCCTCGCAGCTCCCCTGTAAATCTAAATGATCCTCAAGCGACGGTTTCTTTGGACAGAAGGAAGAGGGAAGGAGGGACGGGGGGCCAGGTCTGCTGCCCACTGCTTACTCACTTCCTCGTACGGGTGCTCCCGCCTGGGTCTTTCCTTGGGAAAGGACAAGTCTAGAAAGTCAACCAAGTAGTTGTATCCTCCCGGAAAAGGGTTGAAGTCCTCATCCGTCTCGATCATCTGGGCAAATGACAATGCGGTGAAGGGAAGTCACATCAATCTGGTTCAAGATCCTCAAATAAATTCTAGGCCGTGTAAGACCCCAGTGTGCCGAAGCGGTCACAGGGAACCGGGGTTACGACAAGAGCGGCCTCCCTCCGCCCCCTCAGGCCCCTCCCCCGCCGCCGACTTCTGTCCGGTTTACGGGGGCTCTCGATACCCTGCGTGTAGCGGCACCGCGGCAGCGAGCGCCGCCTGCGCGGGCTGAGGGATGACCGCGCGTGGGACGCGTCCCGTCGCCCCGCGGCGGCTACGCTTAAATAGCTCCCCTGGCATTTCCAGTGTGTGGGCGGCAAAGACAATTTCCTGAAGGGCGTTTGGGAGCTAACGTAGACACCGATACTGTATTTTGCCAAGGGAGGACTTAAAAAGATTTCTGCATCCCTTTTTATCCCATTAAAGGGAGGGTGCCGTGCCGCCTGGAACAGAGGAAGGGACCCGTCTTGGAGTGGACTCTTCACTCCGAGGAAAGAGAGCTGACACCCTCGTAGGCATGCCCACGCGCACGCCCACGCCCACACGTATTTCACTGTGGGCCAGCACACATGCTGTTCCGGTCTGGCCTTGACCCCCGGGCGGGCACGGTGCGGGATCACTGTTTTAGGAATGGCAAGCACCCTTGGTATTGGTGGTCAGCGGCTGGGAGGGAAACTTGGGAGCCGTCCCCACTCTGAGGGTAACCTGTCCTGGTCTCCGAGGATGTGAACGTCGTCCATGTCTGTGACCTCCCTGACCTTTGACCCCATGCTCAACCTCAGGCACCGACTGTAAGCTGGATAAAACCTTCACGTAAGTGCAGGTCACTCGCCGTCCTGGCAGGCAGCCCAGCCCCGACGCCAGGTGCCTCCTTCTGCCGCACCCCTGCCTGTCGTACCTGCTTTCCTCAGTGGCTACACCTGTAGTGTTCATGACCAGGGCGACAGTTTGAACTGCTTGGCTCTGGGTTCTGTGTGTGTGTGTCCAGGAAAACACCCACAGAAAACCGAGAACAAGCAGCAGCGCCAAACGCGCGGGGCTAGGCGGGGAGGAGAGGCCAAGCGTCCCCACCCAGGGCGGGGCCCATGGGGGACTGGGCCGGCTAGTTCCGCCCATTGGTGAGGCAGCGCTGGCGGGGGGCAGGGGAGCACCTGCTGAAACGCCCCTCGGAATCCTGCGGGTGCTCATCCGCACCCAGCGCCCAAGAAAGTGCAGACGAAGAAGCAGGGTAGCCTACCTACCCTGACCACCAGGTTGTAACCCTTAAAGCCAGCCCAGGTGAAGTATTCCTTGATCCAGGCCGGGCGCTGGAACACGGCGTCTCCCACAGCAGCGCTCAGGGCTTCCAGGTAGGGCCCAAAGTCCCAGGAGTCCTTGAACACCTTGGCGCCCGCCGGGGGCTCTGTGATGCACTTGCTTCAAGGCAGAAGCAAGAGGGCAGGGCGAGAAGTGGGTCGCAGGTTAGCGTTCAAAATCCAAAGCCCCCCGGCCGAGCAGTGCCCCCCCCCAGTGCTCGGAGGGGGCCCAGGGTCCCCCAGAAGCAATCAAAGTAACCAAAGACCTCTCTGGCCCTGGGGCTACAGAAAATGTACTGCTTGTACCCTAAAGGCGCTGGGGAGACCCTGAAGTTCAAGACGGAAGGAGCAGCGGCAGCATTTTAAAAAGGCGACTTTCTAAGGCGGCTTTGGCAGCAGGAGCCAGTCAAACCTTTCCTGTGACCCCGGTAAGGATGACGTTTACGTCAGGACCCTGGGGGACCCCATGCCAAGCTGGGGTATGGCAGCTTCCTAAAATGACACTTGCCTTGTCCTGCGCAATGTCCTCAGGTCTATTCTAGTCTGTTCTGTTCTTTCTTTTCTTTTTTTTAATCCTCGCCTGAGGATGTGTTCATTGATTTTAGAGAGAGAGGAAGGGATGGGGGGGCGTCAGTGTGAGACATTGGTCGGTTGCCCCTCATAGGTGCCCCGACCAGGACTCGAATCGGCAACGTTTTGGTGTGTGGGACGATGCTCCGACCAACTGAGCCACCGGCCAGAGCCTGTTATTTCATGTAAAAAGATGCTTATCGCGATTGACATGGCGATTGTACGACCATCAGATCGAAGGAGGTGGGCGTGGAAGGTGGACCGAAGGGGGGAGAGTTGGAGGCCCTGCCACCGGGCCCCTGCGCGGACCCACGTGAAAACCGAGGGCCGAGCAGAGGTCGCGCGTGCAGAGGGGCTGGAGATGCTGGCGCAGCTGCCGAGAGGCCGGCGGGCGATGGACCAGGCGGGGGCGAGGAGGGCGAGGCAGGAGCTCAGCCAGAGGCGGAGCTGGCTGCCTGCCCGCGCAGGCCTGGGGCGGGGGGAGGCCGCGGGCGGTGAACTCGGGGGCCTGCGCCCCGCTCCCCAACTTTGTCGGTTCTTTTCTGTGTGAGGAACTCATGGTTCCATGTGGCTCCAGACAGGCGTTCACAGACTCTGGGCCTGTGCCACCAATGTTAGCATCCACGCCTTGTACACACGCTGCGTAGTTGCACATCACACATGTGCTCTGTGGAGCGGAGGCGGGGCATGGCCACGCGTCTGCTGATGGGGAATCTACCTGTCAGGCCGGTCACGCCTCATGTGCGTGGGCCACCAGTTGCCGGGCCGCACCGAGGGTCCTCACCAGGGGGACCCCCTCACCCTTCCCGCGAGGGCCCAGCCGGGGGAGCCGGCTGAGCAGCTACTGCAGGATGAGAACTTAATGGGGAAACTCAGCCTCCCCCCGCCCCCCGCCCAGATCTGAAAGATGCCGCCTTCAGAGTTTATTTTGCTCAACGGTAAACCTTCGTCTTCTGTGACCCCTCCCGAGGCTGGTCTCCAAGGCCTCACATGCCCACCCAGGGACTGGTCATGAGGCCACAGGGAGCCCTCTGTTCCCTCACTCAGTCAAGAAAAGGCGCAAACTCATTTTTGTTCTCCAGAAATGCTTGAGCCAAACCTGTCTGTCGGGTCCTTGAGCACTCTACCCAGATCGAGGGTGGCTCCTGGGCGGGGGGTCCACGTCACCACGTCAGAGCTCTTCTTGATAAGCTTGCTGAGTTCGTCCGGGTTGTTTTTGATGTTTGTGTCCTTAATATACCTACGAAATAAGAGCGTTCCCATGTGGGAGAGTTCTTCCCGGAAGCACGGTCCGATCAGGACAATGACAGGCTAGATTCTGTTGTCTCTGCCTTCTTACCTCCAGCCCCACCCCGCCACCTACCCCACGGAAAGTGAAGACTGGACTTGGGCCGATGTCCCGGATGAGGGAAGCACTGTTAGGCAAATGAGGTTGCATGTGCACCTTTTTTTTAAGTATAATTATATGGTTTTACATTTCAATACCGAGTCCACATTTAATACACGATCGAGATGGAAACGAAGTCATTTGTATGAGACTGACGATGAGAAATAGGTGGGACTAGCACACTCTTGTATTGAGTATTAGTTAATCGAACGGTATTTGGCAGGAGTTACACCAAACGCCTCACATGAGCGAACTGGTTTTGTCTTCGCAAACTAACGGGAGAGCTGCCATTATCGCTCTCCTTTTGCAGAGACGGACGCCGGCTCAGTGAGGCCCGGCGCCTGCGCCAGGGACACGGCGCGGCCCAGCCTTCCCAAGGGGCCGCCGGGGCCCCTCCGCGGCCGTGGGAGTCAGGTCTGAGGTCTCTCCACCCCTTCCGCCCTCTGAGGGTATATGAGAAAGTCTGCCAGCACCCTGATCTTGGGCTTCCCAGAACTGGGACAAAGAAAGTTCTGTTGTTTGCACGTCCAAAAAAGAAAAAAAAAATCTTTCCATTCAAAACCACTGAAAAGCCACTATTACCCCAGAGCACTACATCCTCCTCCGTCGCAGCTTCTCCCGAGATCTCCGTCCGAGCTGCGCGTTTGCTCAGAGCCGGACAGCACCCACACCGAGTCCCAGACCACGGCCTTTCTGGACAAGCTGTGAACCCCCATTTCAGCGCCACGTGGGACGCGTGGCAGCGGCGGAGCCAGCGAGGCGGACCCAGCGCAGGGTGCCTCGCGGGGTCATCGTCGCGGGCGACACACTCGCCAGCGCCCTGAAGGGAATCCCGCTCTCGGGAGTGACCGCTTGGTCGCTGCGCCTGGACAGGTATTCGCACTCAGGCGCCCAAAGACACAGAACACAGGAAGCGTTGGCGATTCCAGGGCACCGGGTGACCCCCGCGGCTTCTGCTCCTGGAGCTCCCTCTGTAGACAGCAGTGAGGCTGCCCCCGCACCGCGCCGCCAGCGGTGTCTCCCTCCTGCTCGGCCGCATCCCGCCGCCGGCTCAGCTCCTGGCTCCCTCTGGCCCCCAGCGCTCGCGGGCGGCCCCTGCCTGCGACCTTCTCGCTCTAGACCAGGCAGCTGCCGCGACCCTCTCCCAAAACACAGGGTCACAGTCACAGCGTTCTGTAACCTTTCCCGTCTAAAACTGGAGCAAAACCAGCCCCAGGCGGCGCCCTCTGAGGGGTCGTGAGGGCACCGAGCGGGGCGCTGGCCTCCAACGGCCATGCCCCCGAGTGTGGCTCGCGGGCCCTGAACCAGCGGCGCAGGGGTCCTGGAAGGAGCGCCTCCCGCCGCGTTCCTCTGCGGGTGTCTGCAAGCCGCCTCCTTAACGTCCCTGGAATCTGAATCCTCGGTCCTCGCTGCCATCCATCACGGCTTCCGAGGTCGCTGCCGCGGCTCCCGGAGCGAAGGCATAGAAAACACCTGGCCTTTACCTGTCTGACGGGTGCGCTTCCACGAAATAGCCCGCAAAGGGGCAGAAGACCCGGGGCTGCAGGTCCTGCACCAGCCGCGCCTTGTAGTGTAGCAGCTTCCTCCGCTCCGTTCGGATGAACTGGGCTTTCCACTCCTCTGCAAGGACAGGGCTCGGGTTAGTCCCCTCTGCCCAGCGGCCGCAGGGGAACAGCCGTCCTCGCGCATCGGGGCTCTTCCAGGAGGGGCGCCGGACAGGCGACCAGAGCTGAAATAGAGCAAATCTCCACATCACTCCAGTTCGCAAAGTTCAGCCGGTTGCTAGGGAAATGCTACCAAATCAGCCACAGACACCGAACCCTCTCGCGGCTCACGGCAGCTCACCGGGACCCCAGCTGAACCCGGGCACGCGTGGCTGTCTCCCCGTGCACGCACGTTTTAAGGGCACACTAGCTCTCATCGTGAGGGACTCTCTGCTGACGTGGAAATGCCTTCATTGTTTCAGTGGGTTCAACAACAAAGCACGCTCGTCGCGCCCGGGCTGCGCCCAGGGTCAGGGGCATGGGCGGTGGAGCGGGTCAGGACAGGGCAGGACAGGATCGCGCCCCCCGGAAACCCCCCGCCTGCTTCCTCCCCTGGCAGGCAGGGGCGGAACCCGCCACCTGCCGCTCAGGCTGCTCGCTCCTCTGGCCGGTGCGCACTGAGCACCCGCTGTGCACCCAGCGCTGCTACGCTGCTCTGGGCACCGAGACTGCAGTGCTGAGCGAGGCGACCGCTCAGGGGGCCTCTGTTCTTGTGACAGAGGAAAGTAATGGACAAGTCAATAAATACGGTATTTCACAGAGTGAGGAAGCAGGAAGGGAGAGAAGCAGGTCCCAGGTCAGGGCGGAGTCAGGGAGGCCGGCGAGATGGGGCAGGCAGAGGGGCGCTGTGGGGCTGCGGCGAAGGTGACAGTTGAGTCACGGGGACTGGAGGGAAGTGGTTGACCGCAGGGAGGCGGAGCCGAGCAGCACCCCAGGAAGTGGAAACCGCAGGCGCCTGGTCCGGGCCCGGTGGTGGTGCCAGGCGGGTCTGCAGCGCTAGGGAAGCTGCAGTGCAGGCTGGTTGGAGGCCAACAGAGGGCGGCCATGATCAAGGAAGGGGAGGGGCAGGCGGGGCGCGGGGCGCGGGGCGGGGGTGCGGGGTGCAGGGTGCAGGGCGGGCCCTCAGGGAGCTGTTCGCACTCCTCCTCCTGCTGCGAGAGTTTGAGAAACACAGAAAAATAAGTGACCCCAACCTACCCATAACCGCCGTGGGTGTCTGCACGCGCTCACAGGCTCTCAGACACAATCTCTCACACACGTGCTCACGCTCACACTTGCTCACACGTTGTACCAGCCACCCTTCAACAGGGATGTTTCGTCTGTCCGCGCACAGTGTTAGCTCCTCCAGGACAGGCCTTCCCTGCATCTGTCACGCGGCCCGTTGTCCCGGAACAAGGGGGACAGGCCGAGAGAAGGAAGGGCGGGAGGAAGGGACGCACAGGGGCTTCCTCGAGCTGCGGGGCGCGGCGCCCGCGCGTGTTGAGCAGAGATCGTTTCCTTGGCGGGCGGACAGGCCGGGCTGCCCGGCTGAAGGAGCGCGCCCGCCGCTCTGTGCCCGCCCCACCTGGAGCAGAGGGGCTCCCGCCGCGGACCCACGCTTGCTTCAGCTTTGAAACGTGGCTGCCGTGTGACGTGGTGTGGGTCTAAGGCGTACAGTGTGATGACCTCACACACGCATGTATTGCTGAACGATCCCCCACAGTAAGGTGGCCGGCGACGCGCCACGCCTGCCGTGGGTGTGCCTCTGTCCGCGTGTGGGTGCGTCTCCGCGCACAACGCTGCGGCCTGTGTCCGCGCCCCAGGAACCTGCTCGCCTCACGACTGCAGGTCTGTGCTCTTTGCCACCATCTCCATGTCCCCACATCCTCCCCGCCCGCCCCGGCCTCGAGTAACCCCACACTTTGGGGGGGCTTCGCCTGGCTGCGCGCCCTGGGTAACCGCTTGCAGGGCCGGGGAGGGGGGACGCGCCCAGTGTCTGTTCTGAGCCACATCCTTAGGGCACCGGACCCGCCCTGCCTGCCACCAGGTCTGCCTCTGCGCCCCCAGCGAAAGGCGCCTGTCTCTGGGCTCCGCTGCGAGGCCCCGCCCCCACAGGGTCCCCGCCCGCTCCTCCAGCACCCTGGGAGCCGGAAACTTTAGTTTGTGCCTACGTGACTTGCAATAAGGTCAGAAGCTACTAGCAGGGAGGGGCCCCGGCCTCGTCATTGCTCTTGGCATTTCCCGAAGGGCCACGTGGCTCCTCAGTGCGCGCTGGTGTAAAGGGTTACCCGTGAATTTTCCGCCACTGAAAGTCATCGGGAAGCCCGACGCTCCTCCTGCAAAGTCGCTCATCATCAGAGAGACCTTCGCGGGCAGCCGTCCGCCGTTCGGCCTGGTGCAGTCCACTGTGTTGAGGATTTTGTGCCCTGAGGGGAGGGAAAGGGGAAGAGCGTAGCTCTGAGGGCCGCAGCCAGGGGCCTTCACGCCCGGCCTGCACCACTGGACCCACCTGACTGCAAAGCGCGGCTTCCATCTGATGGTGGGGGAAAGCAAAGTTTCAAAACGTAAAGTCTTCACTAGCATATATTGACTTTTCAAGGGCGTAAAGTCCTTCGGTTTGGTGTGGGGGTTCTGGGCATCCCGTGAGGACAGTTAGCTGGATTCCACTCCCGGGTCTTAGAAAGACCCCTTTCCTCGCCCGCTCTCTCCACATTTGGCCCCAAAGGGTGCCAAGGAAAGAGCGCTGGAGCCATGCAAACCCCTGACCCTCCCTCCAAAGCTCGCCTTCAGAAAGCAAGGCTCTTGGCGCGTGCACTGTGGACCGCGCGTGCACTGTGGACCGCGCGTGGCGGCTGACGGGTCACGTGATTATGTGTCAAGAGGCAAGATGCTTTCTCAGCAAGGCCGTTCTGAAGAAACTGCTGGGAGTGAAGTCCAGATTATCTGCTGCCTTATGAAAAAAGCCTTGCGCTATCACACGCGGGATGGGCAGTGGGCTTGCGGCAAAGATCCGCTGAGCGATAGCCCGTGTCTCTTAAGATGCAGAGAACACGCTGTGCTCCGGGGACAATCGGGCGGGGAGGGGAGGCGATGCGCGAGGGGGTAAAGCCCCGCCTGCCACTGCGAGCCTTCCTGCCACGAGTATTTTTTAACGGTCACGGCTGCTAAGGGCGGGACGGTACCTTTGTACTCCACGATGATGCAGGTGTCCATCTCGGGGTGGACTCCATCCATCAGGATCATGAAGCGAAGGTTCTTGTCCACCTGGAATTTCACAATAAACCAACAGCAGTGCATGTCAGTCGGCTGCCAGCTCAATCCTGGAGAAAGGTGTCACGTCTTTGGGAAAGAAATCTCCTTGAACCAGGGCTGGGGTTGCTATCCTGTGCCCTAGAGTCCGGCCAGCACGTCCGCCTTTGACTCCAGCTCCGGGGGCACCGAGAGGGGCGCGGGAGCGACACGGAGCCCCCCACGGACACAACAGGCCGGGGGGCCTTGAGCCCCTGAGCAGCGAGCGCCCCTACGCGCCGGCCTGGAAAGCGGGGCTGGGCGCTGAGAAAAGGACGCGGATGTCTGACCTGCTGCCAGGTCCCAAATGGCACCACCTTGATGTTGGTCAGCTGGACACCGCTCTGAGGCAGATGCCAAAATACAGGTCGCTCCGTGTTTCCCACATAAATGGGGATGTCTGGTCGCCTCGCAGCCAGCTCCTTCAGCGTCGGGTAACTGGGGTCCAAAGGGCGGAAAGGGCGAGAGGTGAAAACAGGACCCTCTGGCATCAGGGACACCTGGCCACGAAGCAAGTGACCACAAAGCCGACCCTCACCAGAGATTCCTCTCAAGGATGACTGCGAGGCAAGGGAGTTTGCTAGAAGGTTCCTTCACGTCAGAACCTACTGTGTCCCTGGTGCGCCAGCCAGGTGGGCAGAGTCCCTCGGCCACACGGATGCTGCCTTGCGCAGCGGCGGCTCTAACGGGCAGAGCGGGGCGGAGAGTTCCCGGGCCTCGGGAAAGCAAGGCCCGCGCCGCAGCGCAAGGGGCACCGCGGATCCCCCGCCGCGGGGGCGGGTGTCCACCCTTCGACGGGTGATGCGCGCTTCGGTATCCAGAATGGATTCTCTGTCCTGAGGGAGACTCCGTTCCCAGCGAGGCACAGCCACGGAAAACCGCACGGACGTGTCGTGACCCCCACCGGGCACGCCCTGGCACGCCTGCATGGACTACGTTGGCTTTCACCCACTGAGCCCGCCCGAGAGAAAAGGGACACGCCCACTGTGGGCGCGGAAAACCAGTGGCACAGAAAGAAAGACGCAGACATGGGGTCCCGTTTCATCCCAAACCGGTGCTTGCTGGGCGCGTTCGCAGGTTGCTTTATCGGATTCTCGCGTGCACGCTCACGCACATGCACAACACCCTCTGAATTTTCTCTTTGTTTTTATAAATGAGGAAACATACTCAGAAACGAATAGTAAACTGGTATTCAAGGTCAGGTTTCCAGATTCTAAACGTGATGCTTCTGCTATCAGAAGGGAACTCCCAGTCTTAATGAATATACTCTGGGGTTTAAGGATCAGATTTGTACACTGAGTATAATGTCAAGTGAAATAAGTGATTTGATCATAAGAGAAGAGTAGATGAAGTCTGCCTGTCAACAAGTGTTAACCGTGTTGACGCTCCGGTTCCGACACGGTGTTCGGAGCCCCCCGAACATATAGGGTCCGGGGGTGGGCCAAGCAGGGGGTTTTCTTCTCTAAAAACACAAGATTCAAAGAGTCAGGATCCTTTGAATGCACCTTCAGTCTCTGGGTTTAGCACCTAAATCTTCTATTGTAAAGGACTTTGGGAGTTAGGATAAATTACTCTGAAGTAGATGCTTATTGCTTTGTGACTTTTTAATTGTTGAGAATTCTTATCAGCATCTATTAATGATATCATCTATTAAAACGCTCACTATATTCACACAATAGAATCACATTTCTGTGACTAAGAACTGTCCTCTAAAGTACATTGGCCTTTTGCCTTGGTTTTGTAAATCAAGGGGGTTTTATTCAATAAAGGAGGGTCAGACCAGACACATGGGGCATGTGACCCCCACGTTCATGAGCTGACCAGGCAAGAGTTAAAAAGAAAGAGTATTGGGGAACAGCCCCAAAGGAGCAAACAGGAGGAGCTTCAGTAAATTTCCGGGAATAAACTATCAGCGGCGTCCAGCACAGCCTCGCTGCTGTGATGCTACAGGTGAGAACTGGGGTCTGGCTCCCGACAACGTGGCCCATGCGGGCCCCGAAATGAAAACTAGACTGGGTTTCAGCTCTGTGGCTGGCATAAAACGAGGCTCAACGGAGTGAAGAGCTCGTGCCTCCCCTGAGCTGCAGCGCCTGCCCATCGACAGCCTCCTCGCCGGGCCGCAGGCGGCCGCGTTGCGCAACGGGCCTGGCAGGGCAACGCCTGACCCGCACGGGCTCTCGCGCTCTGACCAGCGTGGCAGCTCCCAGTGCTCATGCGGGTCTTGCACAACCCTTGCCCCCAGCGCTCTCGCAATGCGGGGCAGCTTGAGGTCACTACCAGCAGGGTCTCTGGGACAAAGGCGTCACTGAATTCACAGGTAGCTGCTTTTTTTTTCCCCCCTTTTAAAAAATCCTCACCAGAGGATATATTTTTGTTGATGTTAGAGAGAGGAAGGAAGAGAGAAGCATCGATCGGTGCCTCCTGTGCACGCCCCAACGGGGGATGGAACCCGCAACCCAGGTGCGTGCCCGGACTAGGGGTCCAGCCGCACCCTTTCGGTCTGCGGGGCGACGCTCCGACCCACTGGGCCCCCAGCGGCCGGGGCCGTAAGCGGCTTTTTAATCATTGCACCCATGGGCTGCGGTCAGTTCGTGTGTGGCAGGTACTTTGTTGCTGAACCGGTCAATTCAGTTTTTAAACCATTCCCTTTTAGAAGGATAAAGGAGAGGCTGTTCGTGCTTTGGAATAGAAAGACCCAAGGGACCCATCAGCTGGCAAACAAGGCATCAACCCTGACCATGAAAAGTGCGTGGCAAAGTATGGCCTACGTGTGAACGTTGTCATGTAAGGTCACAGAAGGTCTTCTTAGTTCCCGGGCTGGTGTGGCTCAGTGGGCTGAGTGCCGGACTGTGAGCCAAAGGGTCGCCGGTTCGATTCCCAGTCAAGACACCTGTCTGGGTTGTGGGCCGGGTCCCCAGTAGGGGGCCCATGAGAGGCAGCCACACATGGATGTTTCTCTCCCTCTCTTTCTTCCCTCCCTTCCCCTCTCTCTAAAAATAGATAAATAAAGTCTTTTTTTAAAAAAAAGAAGTTCTTTGTCTCTTCTTTTTGATTGCCTGGGTTAGGGGCGTTCCTAGCCCGCTGCTTCGATTTGCACGAGGTGTTGGTGAGGTTGGCTCCGAGCTCAAAGGTGGGGACAGACCAGGGACCGGCAGACCAGGGCCGCCTGCTGCGGCCACAGGGAAGGGTTTCGCCTTTCCAGGGTGGTTGAAGGGAAAATCAAAAGGGGGCTGATGTGGCCCTGGCTGAGTCGCTCAGTGGGTTGGAGCGTCGTCCCCATAGGCCAAGGTTGCGGGTTGATCCCCATCTGGGACACAAGCAAGAATCAACCAATGAAGGCAGGGGTAAGCGGAACAACACATCGATGTCTCTCTCCCCTCACCTTCCCTTCTCGCTAAAATCAGTCAAAATAAAAGGCAGTGCTATTCTGTGGCACGTGAACAGTACAGCTGAGTTGCTGTAGCACCGGTGGGATGGCCTGTCGAGCTGAAGATCCCTGCCACAAATATCGATGGGAAGTGGAACAGGAAGTCCAATGCCCTGGGATGACCCTTACCCTAGACTCCCGCCAAGCAGCGCGGGAGGGGGGAGCCCGGGCCCTGCCCTCGGCAGCCCAGCTGCTCCTCCCCCGGCAGGTGAGGAAGCGCTTCCAGACCGCGGCTGCGCAGGTGGGCGGCAGCGGCCGCCTAGGCAAGGCCTGGGCACCGTCCCAAGGCCCCCGGCTCCGAGTGAGCAGGGACTGCAGCGGACCCCGAAAGCCGCCATCCCTCGGCAGCCGGGCGGGGGGGCGTCCCTACCTCAGGTGGTCTGAGTGCATGTGGCTGATGTAGATGAGGTCGGCCCTGCACAGGCGCTGCAGCCAGTCGGCCGGCGGCTCGTGGAGCAGCCACCACCCGCGGGCGAAGGCAGGGCCCGTGAGCCAGGGGTCAAACACCATCCGCTTGTCTCCGAGCTTGAGGTCCATGCAGGCGTGCGTGAGGTAAGTCACCTGTCGGGAGAGAGGGACGTGCTGGCGGTCGAATCGAGAGGGGCTGGGTCATATGGGAGAACTCAGCTACCGAGTGTGCGGGGACTGGGTCGGGGCGGGGGGCCCTCCACCGGAGTCTGGACTTAGGCGCCGAGCCAGGCGCTGCCGTTTGTTAGGAGAGAAATGCTCGTGGACGGTCCTGGGTGTCGGACCCGTCAGGGGAGCGAGTTCCAGTCTCCAGCGGCCCCTGAGGGCTCGCTTAGTCTGCGCTGCAGAATGTCTTTGGGGTCCAGCCCGCCAAAGCCCCGTGTGCCCGGGGAAGGCGGGCGGACGCTGTGGTGGACCTCGGGGGGTGCAGGGCCGGTGCTCGTGGGCAGGAAGACGGCAAGTGCTTGCCGGGGACACTGGCGGAGGTGGCGGCTTTCCCTCCTAAGTGGCCTGGACGCCCCGGGAGGCCGGGGCGCTCTGAGAATGGCCGTGAGCCGGGACCTGGGGCCACCGTGACCGGAGGCTCTGAAGCAGCTCCCACTCCCCTCCCGTGGCCTGGCGGGTCCTCAGGAAAAAGATGAGGTAACAGGAAAGCGGGGGATGAGGGGAGGCCAAGGACCCACATTCGTTTTACTCTGCCTCTTCTGGGCTGGTTCCTGTTGCTTTCCTCCAAAAAAGAAGTAACTGCCCATTTTCACTTTTCAGAAGTAAGCTTCCCAAATACCATAGAAAAATTAATTTTTGGCTGCTAACCCCTCCCAGACTCCCGGGTGCTTCCTCGGGAGGAAGGGCCAAAGCGCCCGGGGGCTGTGGCCGAGCTCAGGGCGGAGGGCCCGGACATGTGACTGTCGGTCATGGGACCGTGGCCTGGCGCGCTTCCCCCAGCAGCTCCTCCGGGACCCAGCCCTTTAAAGTCGATTTTGTTGTGTGTCTTTCTGGATGTTTTTTCCTGCGATCCTTGCCAAGTTCTGGTGCGTTGCTATGGGTGTTGGCTCTGGAGTTCACAACTTCACCGCGCGTCCTCAGTAACCCCGCAGGGCGTCTTCAACACAGGACAGGATGCAAATACGCCCATACATGGGCATCTCAGTTTTATTTTATATGCAATATATACGCGCACATGCACACACATGTGTAAATGTGCATGTTGCGTCTTTTCGCCTCTAAGAAGGCTGATTTTTGTGTTCGCTCACCTGTACTTCCCCAAAAGCCAATTCCTCGGGGGCTCGGGGCTCCGCATCCCATGGGTTGGGAGGGTTCAGCTCGAGCAGCAAGAGGCCGTTTTCCTCGTCCCTTTCGATCACTAGAAGGAAAGGGGCACAGAGCGGGCTGAGGAGCGAGCGGGACTCCAGAGAAGCGTCACCATGGCTGAAGTACGCGGCCGGGCACACAGCACCGGCAGCCAGAGGAGGGAAGACAGCGCCCGGGGACCCTCCCCGGAGCCCATGACAGCCGGCCGTCGGCTCCTCCCTCACCTGGCACTCTGGACACCACCCCCACACCCCGCCAGGGCGGTCCCAGCATGGCTGACAGGCGAGGCTCCAGGGGCGGGGGCTCAGGCGGGAGGGTGGGCGCTCGGGCCAACGTGAGAGCTGACGCGCAGGAAACACGGGAGACTGAGAGGAGCGCGTGCCAGGGGCGGGGGCTGGGCGCGCTGGGCCGTCACAGGGCGACCGGGAACCCATGGCCCAGGAAAGCGGCGTTCGAGGCCCCCACCGCGACCAGGGGCCAGGCGGGGCCAAGGCTGGGTCTTCCCTGCGCCCTGCGCAGAAACTCTTTTCCTCCTTCCTTCCTAAGAGCGTCCTAACTTTTTGCAGGCGTGGTGAGGCATCTGTCTAACAGTCCTGGTGAAGTCAGCCAAAGACAAATATCTCTGGGCTTCACTTCCCTGTGGAACATCAAAACACAATCTAAACCCACAAAACCAAGCCAAAAGAGACCTGTCGGAGGGAAGGACGAACCGATGGTCGCCAGGAGGCGAGCGGGCGGGAGGGAGTGGGCAATGGCGAAGGGGAGCAGCCCATAGCGCGGCAATGACCTCGCACCGTGACAGGCGGGCACCAGACTGGGGTGGGGACCACGTCGCGAGGCGCCTCGGTGTGTGTCACGCGGTTGTACACCCGACACCGGTGCGATATGGTATGCCAACTATAGATTTTAAAGGCCAGGCAAGAACCTAAAACTATAAAAAGCAGCCACGGTTCCCTAAGTCTTCTTGCGACTCAGTGGCCACAGACCTCGCTCTTGCGCACAGTGCGCGCCGTCCAGGCCAGCGAGGAGCAAGCAGAGCTGCTGCTGCGACTTCCAGGAACCTTTTCTATCCAACAAAGAGGGACCGACTCAAGGGCCCTGTGCTGTTTGCCCTTCCCCCTTCCCTCTCTTGCTCGGAACTTGGCTGCAGCCGTGGTCCTGGGGCCCTGAGGAAGAGGCAGCTCCTAAGGATGAAGGGGCAGGAAGAGGAAAAGAATGTGGCTCCCTGATAAGCCACGGAGCGGCCATGCCGCCCAGCGCTGTCTGCCTTGCAGCTTCCTGTGGCGTAGGAAAAGCTACCCCCACACGGCCAGACCGCTCTGGTTTGAGGTTCTCGCTACCCCGGCGAAAGCGACGCTTGACCGCTGACGCGAGGGGCGGTCAGGTCAGGACTTGCTCAGCAGGGTGGCAGCGAGATGGCGGCGGGGGGGCGGGGCGGGGCCTCTGCGGGGCCTCTGCGGGGCGGGCCTCTGCGGGGCGGGCCGTGTGTGTGAGAGCCCCGCGCCCACGCGGCCCCCTTGGAGCCGCGCCCCCCCCCTCCTCCCCGAACAGCGGGGCGACCTTGGGCAGGTGGCTCGACCTCTCTGTTCTTCAGTGTTTCCACCTTTAAACCTGGCTCCCTCCTCGGACAGTTCGTCTGAACGAACGCCAGCGATTCTATCAATTGTTCCACGAAGGCAAATGAGCTCCGAGAGCGGGCAGCCCCCCTCCGCCCCCGGCCGCACATTTTCCAGCTTTCCTGAAAATATATTTGAAAATGGGTCGCCTCCACTTTCCAAAGGGACGTCCGACCCGCACACTCTGAGACGACTGCTTACGGAAGAAACCGAGGTTAAAAGTCACCCATAAAATGAAAAACTGTGCATCTTGGAATTTTCTCCGGTGGCTGTGAACACAGACTTACATAAGCTGTTGAACTTTGATGCTGGAGGTCTTCCTGAGGGACAAAGACGAGGCACCCACTGTCCCCAGAAAGCTCTTCGCGTTGCCCGCGCCCTAGCTGCATGAGGACGCGGGTGTCACCTCATCGGGGACGGCATTCTGGCCCCTCCAGGTCCAGTAGTGCTCCCAGCCCTGGCCCCTCACTATGTTCCCTCCTGGCCCTTCTGGTCACTAGACATGGCATGTGCTGTTTGCTTATGGCCCGTTCCCCCTACCAGACTCACCGCGCCGTCGGCGCTGGGCTTGTGGCTCCTTCGCTGCCAGGTCCGCAACGTGGGGAGACAGTGCCCCGCCCACCGTGGGCATTGGTTAACCATCTGCTGAGCTAATGATTAATTAATGGTCTTAACTTCAAGTCTCCCAAGATGCCCTCAGGGTTGCAAACTTCCCTCTCTCAGCCCAGGCACTATTCCTGCCCAGAACTGGTCCCCCCAGTTGAGGGATTTAAATAGAGAAATATCTCGGTATAAGCACAACATGAAATGTCTTACTTCCTCATTTTTAAAAGACCATTTTAAAAACCAGAAGCATGGTGGCACCAGACAGCTTCCACTGGTTCTTGAGGAGGGGGGATGGGTGGGGTCTGGGGCAAAGAGCACGTCAGCCTTGGCGTGGGGCCAGTGCCCCTGCGGACCCCCTGCCGTCCACCCAATGCCCCCGGTGCCCCACCGGGCACACGAGGACGCCGAGTTCGGTCTCCCTTCCGACACAGCACCCAAGGCCCTCTGACACTGTGCGTCGGCAGCCAGACATCCTACCATGTCAATGTGCATGCCTGACACTCTAGCCGTCGAAAATACATGCGTGGCCCCAAACCAAGGACACCCAGCTGCTCCCTCCACCCAAACCCCTTCTTCCTCTTCTCTGCCGGATGCAGCTCCGCCCAGCGGTCCCATCTCAACGGAACTTCCGGTCAAGATGGCGGCGCAGGTAATCGCAGCGGCGCGCCTCCTTGCACAACCCCATCAAAATTACAACTAAACCTCAGAGCAACCATCATTCGGGACCATCAGCAGTCAAGCTGAACGGAGGTCCTGCCACTAGCGGATTGAAGAAGAAACCACATCTGACTGGTAGGAGGGGTCGAGATGTGGAACGGGCGGGTCCCACACCTACGTGGCGAGGGTAAAAGTGCGGGAGGGCCATCTCGGGAGCGAGGGGTCCCAGCCACCCACCAGGCCCCCCAGGCCAGGGCTCCAGTTCCACGATGATAAGTCCCCGTAACTTCTGGCTGCAAAAACTAGCGGGATTGAGGCCGTGGGAGACAGAAACTTCTAAAGCCCCAGGCAGGTCCTCTTAAAGGACCCCCGCACAGACTCCGGGCGACTCACTCGCTCTGAGCGTCAGCTCCGCGGCACCAGAGACACGGGGGGGTGGGGCAGAGCTGGGGGCCGCTGTGTCCCAGGCAGAAGCGCTGGCACGTCCCCCCACAGAGCTGGCAGGTGGGCGCTGAGTCTGAGACCCCACCAACCTGGTTCACGCTGTGTGCCCCACCCTGAAGATTCCCCGAGGCCCTGCCCCACCCAACTTTTGGGGCAGCCTAAGCTGTTTCCAGTGGCTTTTCCGTATGAATGGCTTGTCCTGGCCTGATCTTCAAATTTTCCTAAATTCCCTCAAATAAGCAGCACCCAGCTTCCGTGGGCCCCATGCCTTTCTCTAATTAGCCCAGGCCCGGCACCAGCAACCCCAGCCGTGGCTCACGGTGCGGCCTCACCGGGCACCTCCAAGCCCAACACAAGGAGCAGCCACCGCAGGCTGCCGCACAGCCAACGCTGTCACAGCCAAGGCAGAACACAGGCGGGGGCTGGCTTTCAATGCGCCAACAGCGATCAAGGCTCAACTGCAAGAGGAGGGTGCGCACAGACCCCACCTTGAGTACCCAGCTTGGGTGGCGAGGAGGCTGCGCCTCTGGCCCCTACGGGACACCCACCACGGAAGGCCACTCTGTGAAGCCTGGGAGACATAGCGGCTCTGCCTAGGACATAAAATCAAAACACAGGGAGGCTGTCGAAATGAGGAGACACAGAAACTAGGCCCAAATGGAAGGACGGAAGAAAACTCCGGAAAAACAAGTAAACAAAATGGAGAACAGTGATCCATCAGATGTAGAGGTCAAAACACGGGTTATGAGGATGCTCACGGGACTTAGGGAGGACCTCAGCAGCGTAGACCAGATCCATCCAGTTGGAGACGAAGGGTAGGCTAATTAAAGCACAGACCAATTTACAGGGGAACAATAGTAGGGTGGATGAATCCAAGAATTAAATCAGCAATTTGGAATATAAGGAAGCAGAAAACAAAAACAAAAAAACAACAGCCAATCAGAACAGCGAGAAGAAAAAAGAATAAAAAAAAAAAAAGGGCATTGTGTAAGCAGCCTCTGGGATAGCTTCAAGCTTTCCAACATTCCCATCATGGGGTACCCGAAGGAGAAGAGCAAGAGCAAGGAATTGGAAACCTATTTGAAAAGGTAATGTAAGAAAACTTCCCTAACATGGTAATTGTAATGCCAAAGGTTAAAATTAAAGAGAATCGTAAAAGCAGCAAAAGGAAAGCAGTTAGTTACCTGCAAGGGAGGTCCCATAAAACTGTCAGCTGATTTCTCCAAAGAAACTTTGCAGGCCAGACATGCTCAAAATGAGGAACACCAAGGAACTACAACCTAGATCACTCTACCCAGCAAAGCTATCATTTAAAATCAAAGCACGGATAAAGAGCTTCCAGACAAGAAAAAGCTAAAGGAGTTCCTCATCTCCAAACCTGTATTCTATGAAATGTTGAAGGGTCTTCTTTAAGAAGAAGATGAAAAATATGAACAATAAAAATGGCAATAAGTTCATATCTATCAACAACTGAATTTAAAAAACAAAATAAACAAACATGCAGGACAGAGACAGGATCACGGAGGCAGAGAGCGTTTCGATGGCAGCCCGATGCGGGGGTGTCGGGGGGGTGCTGAGGAGGTGAGGGGGTGAAGAGGTCCAAGTTGGTAGTTACAGAACAGCCATGGGGATGTAAAGTGCAGCTCAGGAAATGGAGGAGCCAAAGAGCTTACATGCAGGACTCCCGGACATGGTGGGGGCGGGAGCCGGGGGTGGGTGAAGAAGGGACACAAAGCAGGGAAATCCGGGACGGCTGTAATAGCAAAAATGATTAGAAAAAACCCAGAAGTTATGTCTCCAGCACTCCCGGATGAGTTCAAGTTTATTTTCTCACTCCCGCAGCAGTCCCTCTGAAACAGTGTCTAACGCCCGGAGGCAGCGTTCAGGACTGCCCGAAGTCGCGGTTCCTACTGGGGGGGGGGGGGGGGAGGGGACACGGCTGTCATCTGCCAGAACAGAGTCAAGGGCGTTCCTGGCGTTAGGCCTGCCGTGATCGTCGCTGCCCGAGAAGCAAAATGGGGAAGAGGAAGCAGACAGAAACCGGAACAGAGACGTGGTCTCTTAACTCTGCAGAACGCACCCTGCAGTGTGCACGCAGGGGGCCCGCACACAGACATGCGTCTCACGCATCCGCGGGTGGACAATCGGGGCCACTGTTCTGTGGTGCACCGTGTCCAAGGGACCTAACAGGGGACGCTGACCTTGGACAGCCACCGGCTTGTCTGGGCCACCACTCTGTGCAAATGTCCTCTCCTGGACACTGCGCGCTCTGATGGGGCGGGGTGGCCCATACCGCCCCCCTGCGGCGTTTGCGCACGGGTGGGTCTCGGCGCACATTTGCCAAACAGAATGCTCCCAGGGAGCTTTCAGAGAAACCTTCTGCTTAGAGCTTCAGTGTTCATCACAGAGAAAGGACAGACCGTCCACAGAGTCCAGGCATCATGTTTCCAAAGCTTCCGGGGATATTGGCCACGAGTGGGCAGGAAGGACCCCCAGAACAGCGGTCGCGGACGACGCGGACTGAGGGGCGGCCTTACCCAGCTCGTCCTGGCAGAAGCTGCCTGGGGGGTTGATGTACCGCATGGTGCTCACGTCCAGCCTCCAGTTGTGCTTTGTGCACTTAACAGACCTGGCGGGGAGGAAATCGAAGTCAAGAGCCAACGGGGGTCCTGTCCAGGGCGGGACAGGTGCGGCTCTGCCGCAGTTTTCAGATCCCAACGAGGCCGCCCGGGAAACTGCACCCGCCCTCCAGCCGGGTTTGGAAAAGTGCTGCCCCTGCCCTGCTCCCGGGAGAGAAGGGAAAAGCCCACAGGAGCCTTGAATCTTGTGAGGACGGAGCTGGTGCGGGAGAGCCTCAGCACCCCTCACATGGGGCCATGTGCCCCGGAATATTTCCTGTTTCTCAAGCTAAGAATCAGTTTTGAATTATAGTTCTTAAGACAATTCAGAAAAGGTCCTAGCCCTGGCCGGGTGGCCCAGTGGGTTGGAATGTTGTCCCTGCCACCAAAAGGTGGCAGGTTCGTCCTCCAGTCGGGGGGTACAGGAGGCAACTGACTGACGTTTCTTTCTCACGTCTGTGTGTCTCTTTCTCTCTCATATCAATAAACAGATCCTCAGGGGAGGAGTTAAAAAGAAAATCCGACCATTTATATACAAACTTGCTCGGGAGACCCTTCGTGGGTTGGTTCCCTAACAGTTTCTCCACGGGCACATCTGCCAGATCAAACGGCGGGAGCGGACAGTCCCCAGGGAGGAAGCCGGAGCCCAGGTACCTGCCATCCAGGTCCTCGATGTCCCTTATGAACAGCCCTCCTTGGTGCTTGCACAGGTTCTTGCACGCCCTCAGGAGGCTCTTTCTCTTATAAAAGATGTAATCTTGGCCAGTGTTCTTATTTCGGAAGAAGTTGATTCCTTCCTGGAGGCTGGCGACTTCAGCAGGAGACAGGTAGAGCAGCATCTCCGCCGTCTGCTCGATGCTGGGGGAGGCACACGGCGGAGACACGGGTGCGGTTAGGGCTCCGAGCTGACAGCTCAAAATCTCTTTTTAATGAAAATACCGTTCCAGCGCTTCCCTCCCCCTAGCCAGGTTTGGGGCAGTGCCCTCTGGAGACCCAGGCTCCCTGCCCTGTCCCCGTCCCTGTCACTTGCCTGCCCATTGCCAGCACCCTCCTGCCTGGCCGCCTCCTGCTGCTTAGAAAGAAGGGTGGCTGTTCTTTTGTTTCTGTTTCTGTTGCATTTTCACTATCAGAGGAGTTGGAGAGAGGATGTGAACGCTAGTTCACAGTTATTTCCACAGTTATTTCCGTTGATTCAGTTCCTCCACCACCCACCCTCACCCCACCCTCACTCCACATTTGGGGTGTAAATGTGCCTCTCTGGTCCTGCCACTGGTGGCTGGACCCCCCGCGGTGCCCGGGTGCCAGGCCAGACACTCACAGAGCCTCCAAGCTGCTGTTGCCTCCTCTTTTCTTTTCTAAAGAGGTTATTTATTTATTTTTAGAGAGCAAGGGGGAGGGAGGAAGAAAGAGAGGAGGAGAAACAAGCAATTGTCACCCAACCAGGGACCTAAAGAGTTTATTTATTTATTTTTAGAGAGCAAGGGGGAGGGAGGAAGAAAGAGAGGAGGAGAAACAAGCAATTGTCACCCAACCAGGGACCTGGCTTGCAACCCAGGGGCATGTCCAGGCGGGGGAAAGGGGAATCAAACCAGCAACCTTTTGGCTCATAGGACAGCTCACAGCGCTCAGCCCACTGAACCACCCCAGTCAGGGCTCCCAGGCGCCTCTTAAATCCTGTGTCTTCTCTACTTCCCTGTCCCCACAACTTAGCACACTGCCCACCAGGGGGCGCCTCAGCAAGAGCTCCTTAGCAAGGGAGCCCTCCCACAGCAGCAGGTTCAAAAACCACCTATAAAAACCCCCGGCTGCAAATAAGCACTTGGATTTTCATATATTTTTTTTTACAAGAAAGCTACACTTTTTACATTTCTCAGCCTCCAATTTCTACAGAAACTCTGGTGCAACTCTGAATCCTCAGGGGAAATAGAACTTTTGCAAAGAGAGATTTCGAAACGCCTTTCGGCATCTCTCTGGTATGAAATCTGGGGGCACAGAATTTTCTGTCCACTCCTTAGCCAAGGGCAGGGCTTCCCTTGTGGGTTAACTCAAAGTGGGCTTGCCGCCCAAGTACATTTTTGGCTTTTTTCCTTTAATTTTTAGAAGTACTGCAAATTTTAAAAATGGGATTAAAAATAAGTTTTTAAAACCCAGCAGGGGAGCCCTGGCTGGTGTGGCTCAGTGTATTGAGCGCTGGCCTGCAAACCAAAGGGTGGCTGGTTCGATTCCCAGTCAGGGCACGTGCCTGGGTTGTGGGCCAGGTCCCCAGTAGGGGGCGCTTGAGAGGCGATTACACATTGATGTTTCTCGCCTTTTTCTCCCTCCCTTCCCTTCTGTCTAAATAATCTTAAAAAAACAACAACAACAAAAAACCAAAGCATCAGGGTAAAGAACACCAGGCAAGCTCGCTGCACCCTTACCCTGATAAGGAGGTACAGCTAGCTCCGTATCGAGGTTTTTCAAAGCACGTTCTCCTTGTCTTCAAGCCTAAATTCTGGGGCACTCCGTTTACAGCAGATGTGAAGTGTTTCCAAAAACACATTTCAAATTCATTTGATTGGTAGCAACCCACTTTAAGCCTCATGAATTTTTTATTTTATTTTTAAAAAGATTTTATTTATTTTTAGAGAAAGAGAAAGGGAGGGAGAGAAACATCAATGTGTGGTTGCCTCTCACGCGGCCCCTACTGGGGACCTGGCCCACAACCCAGGCATGTGCCCTGACTGGGAATCGAACCAGTGACCCTTTGGTTTGCAGGCTGGTGCTCAATCACTGAGCCACACTAGCTAGGGCTGAGGGGGTTTTTTTTGTTTTTGTTTTTAATGTGCTTGTGAGCACAAATATTTGACACCAAGCCAAAGCATGAAGCCCTTCCAAAAGTCAGTAGTCTGAAAGTGTCCAAAGAAAATCTTTCTCGGTTTTTAACTTGATTGAATGAATCATTTCCCCAAAGTCCTGTTAGACTACAGGTCTCCCCTTGCACTGCGTAAACAGTTGGACTAAGTACATCGTATCAGTTTCGTGACAACCTAAGGCGTATTGGCCAAAGAAAAACTGTACACATGCTTTATGTATTTTTTCAAATGGTTAGTTTTCCCTGAAAGCAAATTTGTGGATGATTTTGACTCCGTGAAAATTAAGAAAATAAAACCACAGTAAATTCTGGATTGGGTATAAGTAAAATACTTCAGTTACAATAATGTTTTAATAACGTAGTTTTCAATGTTTCAGTATCTTTTCAAGTACTTTAATGTTCTTGAAAAAAACCCAGCCATTAAAAATGCTACACAGAAACCTACTGTGTGTCCTCTTCTGGGGGCTGGGCCCGCAATCCAGCGCATGCCCTGACCGGGAATTGAACCGGCGACCCCTTGGTAGGCGGCACGTGACAGGCAACCACACATCGATGTTTCCCTCCCTCTCTTTCTCCTCCCTTCCTGCTCTCTAAAAATAAATAAAGTTAATAGCGCTTTTTTTAAGAAAAGAACAGATGAGAAATATAAGCAGAGAGATCGAAATTCAAAGAAAGAATAAAAATAATAATAGCAACAACAGATAAAGAATGCTTTTGGTGGGTTGATTCGATGTGGCTCAGGATAGAACCTCTGAGCCTGAGGGTGCGACTGTAGGACCCTTCCCGAACTCAAAGTGAAGAGAGATCTGGGCTCTGCATTCCCTGCACAAAATGCCCAGTCAAGCCTCAGAAACGGTCCCTGCTACAGAGCCCGAGCTGCCACCGCCCCGGCTGAGACAGGGCCTGAGACGGGGCCTGCCACGGAATCTGACAGTCACGGGTCCATCCGGAACCGGAGGAGCAGGATTCCACACAGGCGGCCACACAGGCAGCTGCTGAACTCGGCAGGGAACCAGAGTGAAAAGAAGGCAGGGAAGCCGGCGTCCAAACGGGGACCTTCACAGGCTGCAGGAGCTCCTGGAGTCACCCTGGAAATCTAAGGGTACCCTCCTTGTCACCACCAAACCAGACGGCTGCAAGAGCCCCGCCTGAGGCGCCTCCACAGTGAGGGGAACAGAGGTCAAGGGCTTATCTCAGCAGCACAGCCAGCAGCTACCGGGAATTCAGAGTTCAAGGCGAAGCTGTGGCGCACAGGCAGGAAAGCCCCCAGACCCCAGCTGCACAGGAGGAAAGAAGGGGGGCAGGCTGATGAAACAGGTGTGGAGGACATAGAATCGGTCAATGTCACAAGCCACTGTGTCGCAAGCAAAGGCGGTTCCAGCCCCGAGGAACAGCCGCAGCGATATTGTAAATGCTATTATGGAACTAACAATGTGCCCATCTGAAAATGAGGACCTTTTTGGGGGGTTTCAAAAGAGTTACTCGGCTTGGTTTGAGATTTATACTGTTTCATTAATGAAGTTATGGTTTCTCATGGGATGGAAGGAAGGAAGGAGAAAAACCCCAGAAAAATGGAACAGAATATTCAAGAACTGTGATACAAATACAAAAGTTGCAACATAATGCATAATGAGAATACCAGGAGAATAGAGAGAAAACCAGAGGACCTATTGGAAGCGATAGTGGCTGACAATTTCTCCCAAGTTAATGTTGGGTACCAACCCGCAGACCCAAAATGAGCAGAGAACACCCGGCATGATGTCCCCTCAAAACTACATTGAGGATCATCCCACCGAAATTTCAGAAAATCAAAGAAAAAGAAAAATTCATGAAAGAAGCCAGAGGGGGAAAAACATCTTACTTCTCAGGGAACAAAGGTAAGAATTAAACATGAATCCTCAGAAACCACACAAGCAGGAAGAGAGGGAAGTTAAATAATGCAGGTGTTGAAAGAAAACCCCCAGGGAGAAACAGACAACCTGCACAGTCCTGTGCCTGGTCAAGAGGTCGGAGAGTAACCGACCATCTCCCCACCCAGGAAGCACCAGGCCCCTGAGAGTTTCCTGCCGAATTCCCCCAGACCTTTAAGGAAGAAATTATCCCGATTCTGTGCAATCATTTGCTTATTCTGTACCCTTATACTGTTGTCATTTCTCAAGTGACCTAGAGGTAGAAGCACACTGCACGGGGCCGACTTTTCAACTGTCCCGATCGCCCTCAGTTTAGTAAAAGCCCCCGCGCCCGCCAGGCCTCGGGCTGGGTTCTCCCCCCGCCCCCGCAGCCCGACCGGCGCCGCGCCCCGGAGCTCACCGGCTTTCCCGTGGGACTCTGGCCATTCTGTCTGTGTCCTCCGTGGACACCGCCTCCCCTCACCTGGCCGCTGCCCGCTGCGGTTTCTCCACGCTCGCCCTGCCTGTGTCTTTTGTGTAGGAGGGACCTCACCCTGCATTCAAAGGCTCCACGAGCACGGCGGGGCCGGATCTGAGAGACACCTGGCACGCAGCGAGCCCGCAGTGCAAGTCGGCAGGGCCCCCCCCCCCCCCCAGACCTCCAGGTGTCCCTCGTGACGCTTCCCACGACCTCGGGCCCTGCCCGCGCTCTCACGGCCCAAGGCAGACCCGTCAGGGTCCCTGTCAGGTTGGCCTCGCGACCCTCTCCCTCTCCCTCTCCCTCCGCCATCCAGGCTGCCACCTCCTCCCTCCCAGGCCACTGCCCTCGGCCGCTCGCAGGTCACGCTGCCTCCACGCTCTCATCTGCTCTCCCCACGGTGGCCAGAGCAACATATTTAAAATGGAGATTTCAGAACTAACTTGGCTCCGTTGCCCTTTCTCCCACCTCTCAAAAACGCATTCATACCCTCCCACGGTTCTGAGGGAGAAGAGCCACGTTTCTTGCACGGCCTCGGGGATCGCGCCCCGGGTGGCTGGAAATCCCTCCCTCCAGCCCGTTGTGAACGGGGCTCACTCTCGTCCTCGGAAGGCCACCTGGCCTTTCGCTTCCTCTCCGGGCGACACTGGGCCGCGGCACTCCGCTTGTGAGCCCCGGGGCCGGCCACACCCCCCCCACAGTCCGCGGCGCCAGATGCTGCTTGTTCTCTCCCGTGACTCCCCACGCATGTGACTTCATTTGTAACGACGAGATTAATGGACCCCTGTACCCCCTGAGAAAACAGAAAACCACACGCGAGGAGAAGCCACACTCCAGGGAGCAGCCCTCTCGCCCGGAGCCCAGCGCCCCTGGGGGTTCTGGTTCCTATTTGCTGAACAAATACACGAACGTCACAATTATTGGCCCATGATGGTGATTCTTACAAAACCTTTGTTATGAACCTAAAACAAACTTGCCACCACACCAAGAGTAGGACAGCCCCGTGTTTAATTGCGAAGTAGCGCTTACCCAGATGTTGCGTTGACGTTTTAAGAATTAAACACCCCATGGACGGCACCCCGATACAGCTCAGCAAAGGTCTAAAGGGCCCGTGGTACCGCAGCTGACATTTCCAAGTTCTCACCCAGCTCACAAAGTCTTCCATTCCCCATGAGGGCGTGAGCGCTTCGCTCGTAGGAGCTGGAAGCCTGACCGCACGTTTGAGCCCCAAAGTCAGGGTACCTCTTAGCCCTGCGCACCCCCCAGCTCCAAACCCCACGTCCTCCGGGACCCCCACTGTGAGCCTTTAGAATCGCCCTTGGTCTTCAAGCTTTCTGAGCCCTGGGCAAACAACAGGTATTGACAGAGGGAAGCTCCCAAAATGAGAATTTCTGCCGGACGCCCGAGAAAAATACGGGCAATCTACTACAAAGATGTCACTGGTGAGGGGTGGGTGACAGGCACAGGGACCGGAGAGGAAGGCCCGGTGGGGCGCGGAGATGAACACTCAGGCCACGTCGCGCCGCGAGCCCCCCCGCCCTGACCTCCCCCCAGAGCACTCCGTTCAGGCACCTTTTCCCTGACCTGAGATGACCGAGCAGAGACCAACCCCCACCTCAGTGGGGAAAAGGGTAAACCATACCTTTGTTCCATTCCTGGTAGGAAGAGGCTAAACGGCTCCGTAGAGAAAGCAGACCAGGGAGAGATTGGAGTGTTCCTTTAAGGGATACTTGAGCTGTGGGCTATTTGCTGATAGCAAATTAACTTGATTTCCTTGAAGTCAGAAGACCTTTTCTGATGCAATGGAGACAAAGCAGCCGCCAGCCAGGCCTCGGAAGCCAGTGACTGGGCGGCTGACGTGCTCTTTGGTCTTTGCAGAGCTGTCCACCTCTTTCCCCTCCCACCTCCACCCGTCAGCGCCCAGTCACTTCAGATAACCTCCGGCTCCGCTGCCAGCGGCAGGTGGCGCATCCGGCAGGCCGATGGGTGGAAGGGAGAAAAAACCATTGAGGAGGGATTATCACACCCCTCCAGCCTCCTGTCCTCTCCTGAAAGTGACTCTGGCGCGTGTGCGCACACTTTGTCTTCTTCAAAGCAAAAAGAATAATGGCTTGACCGTACGGAAGAGGGCGTGGGGAACATTCCCATGAGGGTGTGGGGTTCGTTTTGCGCCCAGCTCTTTCCTGGTTCCCATGGCCCCGGTGTTTTGTCTTCCCAGTCCCTCGGGCCTTGCGCAGCCTCTGGGCAGGGGCGAAGTCCTGGTCTCCTGAGAAGCCGCAGTCTCCGCGGCTTCTTCGCCCTGGGGGGACAGGCGCCCCGTCTTTTGGCTGGTCACTGGTGCGGCCTCACAGGCGCAACAAAGGAGCCGCCTCCCTGACGTCTGCTGGGCCATGCATTTTCACTTCGCTCTCCTGCCTGGTTTTAACGCCTCCGCACAGGTCCCTGCACCTCCGTGAAAGGTGCTCCCTGCGTCCCTCCCTAACTGATTCTTCTTCCTCCAGAATTCCTGGAGAAGTCTGCCTCTCCCGGTTGCACTGTAGAAACAGGAGAGCGATACTAGCTCCGGGCAGCGGCGTGTGGCCGTGAGGCTTGTTTATGAGCCTGGGCTTCTGGAGCCAAGGCGGCATCACCCCGGTCTCGTATTCTGTGCGGAGCTTCCACATGGCTGACCCCTCTGAAGAGCGCACCCGTCCTGGCTGGAGACGCGCGGCGGCGAGCACACGGTGGGCGGGGGGTGGTCAGCCCAGGTGAGCGCCGGCAGCCATGGCCTGGGGGCCTCCAGCAGCCCTGCAGCCGGTCTGCGGCCCGTGAAGAGGAACAGGCTGTAGTGAGCCTGTTGTTTCCTCGGGGCTGAAGGAAAAGCCAGACTCTGCACAGCGCCGCCCTGGCCCCACTCCCCACGGCGGCTCGTCCGGCTGTGTGTTCACCGCCCATGTCACAAAGCCCGCTGACCCTCCTCCCGGGAAGGAAAGCGGAAACCACGGGGAGACACCAGCCCTGACGTGGTCCACATCACCCCCAGGCGGCCGGGCCTCTGTGGGAGGTGAAGAGATCTCCATCTTCCAACACGGGGGCGCAGGGTGCGGGGTGGGGGGCTCCCTGGACACCGGAGCCGTCAGGGGTCCAGGTCATCACAGATCTGGTGCTGGGAGCCAGGCCGCCTCTGCCCCAGGCCCCTGGCGCACGAGCTGCCAGCCTGCTCGCCGCCGACCCCCGTTTCCCAGGCCTCTCTGCGTGTTTCTGTCCACCTGCCGAATTTCTCGCTACCCTGACGCCCGTCCCTGCTCTCTAACTGTGTTCCTTCTGGGCCTTCCCCCCCCGCCGCCAACGCGCTTCTCTCCGGAGGCCGCCCGGGCCTGCGTGCTCTGCTTGGCCCAGATTGGTTTGGTGTCTGTGCCTGGCCTGGCCGTAGGCGCTCCGATTCCCAGGCCCCCTCGCCTCACAGCTGTGATCACAGAGACGCTGTATGTGTGGCTTCAGCGTCTCCAGAGATGCGCCTCTTCTCAGGCAGAGGGCGTGCTTGCTGCCGGGGGCGGGGCGGGGGGGTCAGGCTGTGAGGGGCTGGGTCCCCGACGGGCACCCTGAACCCATCCAGCGGCCAGACCCTCCCGCAGGGGAAGTGCACGAGTGGGCAGGGCCACAGAGCCATGGGGGTGGGGAGGGCGGCAGGGCCCGCCTCTTTTTCGGCTTCCGATTGAACCCAGAACTCTCTAGAAGCCCAGTCATAGCTCTGCACAGACACACTGGGGGATGCACGACTCCAAACAGAAGTCGGGGAGGGGACACCAAGGGCTCTACCGTCACCACGTTCTGCGGTCTGGCTTTGGTCCAAGGAGCCTGCACAGGACCACCTCCCCTCTGCAAGCGGGCCTTTCTGGGTGCACCCCCGCGGCCAGAAGCTGACCGCTCCCTCCGTTGGTACCACTGGGGAAGCTCACACGCGTTCTGCGACCGCGCTGGCGTGTGGGTTCCGGAGAGCGGACGCCGCACTGCCCCCCTTTCATGGCCTCTTATCCCCTAATGAGCTGGGCCTGAGGCCCCCGGAGCAGCACACTCCCTCCTGGGCACACAGACGGCCTGGCGCACCGGCCCTTCCAGCCCTCCACTTCCAGGAAGGCACCCCCCTCCCCCCGTTTCCTCAGTCCTGGGAGGGGCGCAGGACGTCCCCAGCGTTTCTCAAGTATTTTAAAATTTCAGGAAAGCAAATACGTAAGAAACAACCTTTGCTTATCAACGCAATGGTGTCCTGTGCCAGGACAGAAGGAGACTTCGCATGCAGTTGTCTCACTGAATTAACTTAATGTCCACGTTGGTCCAGGGTTTAAGGGAGACCAGACGGAGGTCGCTGGAGGCCCGCTCTGGCGGCTGTGCTGCTGGCCTGCGCGGGCAGCGGCGTCCTGTCTGGGCAGAGGGGGCTGGGTGAGTGCGCGCCCGTCTTCTCCTGGAGAAACCGCTGGGCTGTTCGGCTTCCTTCTCACCCAGCGACTATCAGCCCTTTTTCATCTCAAGGCACACGGAAGCCAGGTCCTGGAATCCTGCAGGACACCGGAAAATGCAGTGTATTTTTTTGCCACTCGAGCAAAAAAAGAAGGAAAAAAAGGTATAATTTGATTCATCCCCACCAGATGGCTATTCCCGTCTTAGCTGTTGTCTTTATTTAGTGTTTTAAAGATGTTGTGTATTTATTTTTAGAGAGGGGAAGGGAAGGAGAAAGAAAGAGGAGAGACACATCAAGGTGTGGTCGCCTCCCGTGGGCCCCCCACTGGGGACCCGGCCTGCAACCCGGGCCTGTGCCCTGACGGGGAATGGAGCTGGCAACTCTTTGGTTCCCAGGCCAGCACTCAACCCACTGAGCCACACCAGCCAGGGCCTACTTTTTATTTGGCAATCTAAGGGAAAAGAGGTCAGCGCCCCTGACTAAGCAGGCAGGCACTGCGCATTTTAAAAATTCCTGCAGCACATGGGCTGAGCGTCGCTGTTTGGGACCAAGCGGAAAGCTGGGAGGGAGAGGGTTCGCTTTCAGTCACCTTTCCCACGCAGATGAAGGCGCTCGGCTCAGGTTCCCCACGACGTGCTCCGCCTCCCGGTGACTGACTCCCGCCGAGGCCTCCCCACCAGTCGCGCACGGCCGCAGCTCCCGACCGGCTGCGGCGGGTGCCCGGCCTTCCCGAAGCCGGCACGCGCCCGGGCGCCGGTCCCGGGCCCCCCCCTCAGGTCGGTCTCCGCCCCCTATGTCCCTGAGGACGCAGACTAAGCACCCACAGGGCTCCTTCGGGTGTTAGGTTCTCAGCTGAGTGCCAGGGACGTAAATTGACGGAGATTCAGCCCCTGACTACTGTGTGTATGGCGGGGGCAGGGAGTGGGGAGGAACGGGGGGCAGGCGGAGACACACTCATCGGGAAATATCAGCAAAACGGGGGAGGGGATCCGTTCCTCCACCTTGTCCCCAAACGTCCTCCTCCAGGCCACGGTCTCAGGGACCTCAGGCCACTGTCCCGTTCTCTCCTGATTCCTCTGGACCTGCCCCTTGTCTTTAGCATTTGCGGATGGGCAAGCCTGTCCCATCTTGAGAACAACGGTCCTTAACTCTCTGTCACCTCCCCGGGAGGACCCTTGCTCTTCACAACACAGCCAGGCATCCGGGCCAGCAGCACCCGCCCTCTGTGGGTCTGTCTCCTGTCTTCTTTCTTCCCGCTGACCCCTGAAGCCGCGCCCTGCGGATGCCAACCCTGCCCCCACAGGGCTCTCCGCAGGGCGGCGCCCTCCCGGGCCCCCCATTCCCCCGTCCCCACCCCGCAGCAGGGCCGTTACGGTTGGCAGCTGTCCCTTTCTGGAAGCACCCCCTCCCTTTGACCCTTGGACCTCCCTTTGTCACACTGAGGTTTTACAGCACAGCAGGACCCAGGACGTGGCAGCGCCCAGGCGCTCTGGCCCGCGGGACGGCTCGCCCCCTGGCGAATGCCTGCCACGTCCTGATGGGGGATGGACGTGCACACACTAACGGTCACAGCGGCACGTCGTTCACAGCGGGGGCGAGGACAGCCCAGTGTCCATCGCAGACGATTGGTTCAGCCACGTGCGATGCACACTTACCAAGTGTGTTAGTCGTCTATCACCGTAATACAAAAGCGTGTTATTCAGCCGTAAAAAAAGAAAAACTTCTCATTCACATGACACCACGGATGAACTCCGAACGTTATGCTGAGTGAGACAGGCCAGACACCAAGGACACGCATGGTGCAACCCCCGTCAAGCGACACGCTTAGAGCAGGGCGCTGGGGACAGAGTGTGCGCAGAGTCAGCCGGGGCTGCGGGTGCTGGGCCGGGGAGTCGCTGCCCAGCAGGCGCTACGGTTTCTGTCCGGAAGATGAAAGCGTCCTGCCAATCGTGGTGGCGGCCGCACGACCCTGCAGATGCGCTTACTACCGCTGACTGCTTATGTACAAAGGGTGCAGGGCAAATTCTATGTGAGGGTGTGTGTGTGTGTGTGTGTGTGTGTGCGCGCGCGCGCGCGCGCCATAATTTAAAAAATTAGTTCACAGCCTCTGGTCCCCGCCAAGACGGCACCCTGAAGCACTTGAACGTAGTGCGTTATAAGGCGCACAAAGAGAAGCAGAAGAGCAAGGAAAAGAGGAAACAAACAGGAAGCAAAATATAGGACAGATAAAAGCTCGAACTTATCAACAATGGCCTGAAACGGAAGTCGCCTAAATACACCAATGAAGAGACCGGAGTTGGCGGAGGGGATGGGAAAGCGCAGCGCAGCGGCGCGGGGCCTGTGGGGCAGTCGTCCCAGATGCGCCGGGCGCCCCTCGTTACGCGCCAGCGGCAGCCTGGCCTGTGCTCACACCGACGGGACCGATGATCAGGGGTCGTGAGCCACGCTTTAGTTTTACCTTGCGGACGGAGA